GAGACCAGAGAGTGACCAGAGAGAGACCAGAGAGTGACCAGAGAGTGACCAGAGAGTGACCAGAGAGTGACCAGAGAGTGACCAGAGAGAGACCAGAGAGAGACCAGAGAGAGACCAGAGAGAGTCCAGAGAGAGACCAGAGATGGACCAGAGAGAGGAATCAGCTTTTGACCAGTCTGAGAGAAAGCAGAGAGAAGAACCAGGACTCAGGTGTGTGAACCAGGACTGAGCTGTGGGTCATTTATCCCGGACCTGACACAATGAAAGACACAGTTTGCGTTGTTCAATTAGATTGTATTGTCAGAATCAAGCAGACCAAGTGTAAATCCACTGAGCAAAGAAACCTGGTCTGGACCGAGCAGCTCCACCTCTGCTGCTGTGACCTTACTACTGTTGTTAAAAACTTTTGGAACGATGTAGCTTTGGTTTTGTTTGTTTGGTTGGATGTGTTTCTGCTGCTACTGGACACCTGACTCTGTCTCTCTAGAACAGTGGTCTCCAACCTGTGGCTCGCCAACTCCTTTCAAGTAGCTCCCCAAAGGATTCAGGAAATTGACGCATTCTCCTACATTTTTACATTTAGAGTCATTGCATTTCTTTTTTAACTGTACATGTTTCCATTATGTTCATGTATGTAGGGTTTTACAGTGTTATGGTACATTTTACATGAGTGTTGCCCAGTATTTTTTGCATTACATTCAGAGGTGTCCAAACCGGTCCAGAAAGGGCCGCTGTGGCTGCAGGTTTTCTATCATACCCAACAGGAGCAGAGCAGACTCCACCCATTTCCTCAAGTGAGTTCAGTCTTATTCTGAAGATTTGAGGAAATGGGTGGAGTCTGCGCTGCTCCTGTTGGGTATGATAGAAAACCTGCAGCCACAGCGGCCCTTTCTGGACCGGTTTGGACACCCCTGACATAGACTATAGTTTTATTGCAAAAAAAAAGTAGCTCTGCCATTTTTGTTACGCAAAAGTAGCTCTCCAAAAAAAAAAAGGTTGGAGGTTTGAGCAAGGTCTGTCAGGTCCCAAGCAGCTCCTGTAGAGGTCTGGTCCATGGCGACTTCAGAGTCCGCCCAGGAGTCCTGCAAAAGTCTTGACTATCACAGAGAAGAAGGGCACTTATATCGGCCTTGAATGCTGACGTAAACACTATTGGTCCTCCCAACTGTCAATCATTCTGGTGATACGTCCAATAAGACCAGAGAGTTTGGTTCAAAAAGTGGAGAGGGCGGTTCTTCACAAAAATTTGGGTCAGTTAGTAGAGTATTGGCCTTTGAGCCTGAGAGTCGTGAGTTTGAGCCCACCGCGAGATCTTCTCCACCGACTCCACTGATGTCTGCTGCCGTTGTGTCCTTGGGCAAGACACTTTACCCACTATGGGCCGACTCCTTATGGGCATAAGGAGCGCGGAAGTAATGTTTTCGCTGCATGCCTTGATGTGTACATGTGTTTTCATCAAACTGGAATTTCCCCACTGTGGGATGAAAAAAGGACCTTCTTCTACAACTAATTAACACATGACTTCTGTGTTCAAAGCTTGTAGACAAAACGAGGGCATGAGCTAAACTTATGGTTTTGTCACAGACTAAAGTCCAATGTAAACAAGTTAGTAAGTAAATATGGATGCCTCATAAGCATTTCAAAGTACAGAACAGTTTTCTACATTAAAGAGTAAGCATTAATATTCAGATTTGCGCAGCGGGAAGCAGACAGAGGAGGATAGATGTGGAGAATAGATCCACATTTTGCAGTGCGGCTCCTCCTCCTCCTCCTGGATCTTGAGCCGGTACCAAGCAACAGCCTCAGCGGAGTCCTGCTCTCTACAACTGAGTGGGAAGAGCGCACACGCCTCGAGGGGAGAAAACCACACATTCAGTCCGTCAGCAACAGCTTCTCAATCTGCCGTCTGCGGCCCAGGTCTCATGGCAAACACACGGTGTAAACACAGCAAAAACATGACAACAATACAACAAAAACATGGCTAAAACACAACAATATCTCAGCAAAAACATGGAAAAAACGCACCAAAAACTTACATTTCTTGTGTTTTAACAGCTTGATTCTCTGATCTGTTGTTGGCGAATAGACAACTTTGTACTGTCCTCCGAGGCGACTGCTGCTGCTGTGATTTACGGCTGAAGACAAATACATTGAAGTGAATTTTCTCATGTTTTCTTGTCTTCTATTTAAGCGTACTACTATCATAATGTACGTCAGCTACAGGCTACACCTTCCATTGGGTCTGGATGACGTTCTGAGGGAAGTCCCAGTGTTTTTGCTCAGTGTGAATGAGGCTATACGGTTTGAGGAGTCGCCATAGCGTTTGTGCATCACGTTTGAAAACAGAGCATTTGAAGAGAAGGGGCGGGCGGACGTGTTTCTGCCAGAGAGTAGTGTGGAGTGTGGAGTAGCACAAGTACAGAACAATAATGGCTGGATAGAAATGGACCTTTTTGCATCACATTTCTTACTGAAAACAGTCCAAATACACTGTTATTATTAAAATCTTTCTTTAACAAATTAGGGTTCATAAATTAACATAGTAAGTCACAAACTGAACTAATAAAAAGTAAATATTAGTCTTTTAAAACGTGGTCTAAAGCTCAGTTCATGAATAACAAATGTACAATGACCTGAGCAACATTGTACTTTTCGATAATTGAATATTTCTATCATTTTTTATCCACACAAAATTGACTCTTTTTGCATAAATCCCAACACCAGGAACGTTTTAGCGTCTTTAAAACTGCTCTCACAGCATTACCCACACCCTCCTTTATCTGGCAGCACAGTTTTTGTAGTGCAGTATTTTGTTCCCTGTCAGAATAGTGGCGTGTGATTGGCTGCCGGTGAGAGATGGAGGGGGCAGTAATGACAAGCCAGCAGTGGGAAACACACCGTGGGAGAGGAGTCCGCTCGCCATCTCCCAGCGAGACAGAGGCGTCGGAGAGACCGTGGAGGCTGCACAGACGGCCGGTGGGAGGCGGCTTCTCAACATCAAAACACCACCACCTGCTCCTCTCCACGCTCTCTCTCTCTCTCTCTCCCTCTCTCTCTCTCTCCTCGGCTTCAGCTAAGTGCAGCTCTGAAGCAGCCTCTCGGAAAAGCAGGGAGCGTGGACGTGACGGCTAAGTGAACTTTCTGGACACGATCGATTTTTGCCAACATCCTGCCAGAGAGGAAGAGGTGGAAAAAACGGCTCCACTGAGGGATGAGTTTGTGTTGGGAAAGAACGCGGCGAGGACGATTGGACGCAATGGGATGACGAGGTGTTGTTGGAGCTTCTCGGACCAAGTCAAGACGGTTTTTTGGGGGAGTTTCGCAAATGGATTACGATTCAAAGGAGTGTGGTGAGAAGACGTCACGACTTTTCAACAGTTTGGCAACAACTATGAGGATGTAGAAAGCTTTCAAATTAAATACAACTCCGTTTATGTTTGTGTGGTCTTGAATCACAACAGCGGTCGTCTCGGAGGACTTTGCAAAGGTACCATGGGTCCAGAAAGAGTCCATAGATAGTGGTCATAACGTACACCTTGGATCATCTCTGTCCTTAGACCCTCCTGCATCAACAAGGCACCACTCAATGAAAAATTTGGGTTGAAAAAAGTCTTGTTGCTGCAGTTTTTGGCTCTGCAGAAAAAACTTGGCTCTTAAAATGGATTATTACTTAAGACATATATTTGAGAAAGCGCGTACAACGACGTCAAGACTTTTTTTACAGTTTGCCCAAGATCGGGAGGATATTGAAAGCCTATAGATGTCTTTGTTGACTGCAGTTTGAATTGGAATAGACACAAAAAGACACATTATTGAGTACATACAACATTATCAAGACCTCTCGACTGACTGGACAAGTTTTCAGGTCTATCCAGAGACTGATTGATGGATGTGAGTAGATCGTTGGTCAATCTCCTCATCCTTTTGACGTCTCTATAATTTCCCAGTGAAGTCCTGCCTCTCTACAAACACGCAAAATAACACGATTCTTACCGTCCAACTTGGCAAATGGATTACCATGAGTCGCAGTTGAGTTCAAGGCAACATGGCGTTCTTCTCCGCGATCCTGTCCAAGGGATTTATAGAAAACTTTCAGACATAACAAGATTGATCCATGACTTGCAGTTTCCATGGTTCAATATCCTAATTTTCTTCCGCAAAGGCCGCTCTCTCTCGTGAGTCGTAGGAAAGAGAATGATGTCGTCACTTTTCCCTCTCCATCAATCCGTCTCGGTGAACGTTGGTTAATCGGACCATCTATTTTGACGAAGGACTTGATGTTGTCGGCTAAATTACGTTCGGATTTCTTTCTCTACAATAAAAACGCATTGATTTGGTTCGAATGAAGAAATGATTGTCGAATTTGCAAATGGATTAAGATTAAGAGATCTTGATTGATGGGCGACTTCAAGATTTCTGAACAGTTTCGATGAGATTGCAGGATACGAGGTGTCCCAAAAGTAAGAACGTCGAACGATTTTTCTATTTGGTCAATTTGGTCGAGACGCCTCAGACTCAAAAGTACAAAGAAATATGAATTGATCAAAGATGATGGTAGTAAACTTGGAAAATGGATCATTACGGCAACACATTGAAGTAATTTGGGCAACATACATCTTAAGATATGGGATGGATTCTTGGTTTTTGTGAATTTCTCATTGTCTATCAGTAAATCCACAACTTTGGACGTTTCAAGCTCAAAAGTGCAAAAATACACTGATTAAATGGATTATTACGCCAAGACGATGAAGTTTGGGCGACAAAGTAAGACAGAAGGGTATTGCTCGGTCGTCAGGATTTTTCAATTGTCTATCGGTTCATCGACAATCCTGGGAGTCTAGAGCAAAACAAGACCAAAACAAGACTTAAAGACAGCAGCAGTTTCAACAGAGGAACCAGAAAAATATGGTTCTCTGCTTTTAATCTCAAGCAAAAAACACATCGCACTGTTGCATATTCTGAAAAATACTGTCAGCGGAATAGAAACGGGAACTTTCAGCATGAACTACATCTTTGGGAACAACACGCTGTACCCGCGCAGTGGCCGGGGTGGCTCTGGAGGCACGGGGCCGGGCGTGAAGCCAAAGATGGGGCCAAAACGTGGGTCTTCGGAGGAGCTGGGGAACCCTCCACACTACTCGTCTCCGTCCACGTCCTCGCCGGCGTCCTCCATCCCATCCACGTCCTCCGCGTCGCGTTGGCAACAGCTGCTCACCTTCTTCTCTCGGAGGAGCGCCTTCACGGACTGCATCAACGCCAGCCAGGTGAGGGCAGCCATGTTGGGAAGTCCAAACACCGACAGGCAGGCAGGTGTGGGCAGCCATGTTGGAAAGTCCAAACAATGAAAGGCAGGCAGGTGAGGATGGCCATGTTAGAAAGTCCAAACAACAACAAGCAGGTGAGGGCGGCCATGTTGTGAAGTCCAAACAACGGCAGGCAGGCAGGTGAGGGCGGCCATGTTGGGAAGTCCAAACAATGGCAGGCAGGCAGGTGAGGGTGGCCATGTTGGGAAGTCCAAACAGCAGCAGGCAGGTGAGGGCGGCCATGTTGGGAAGTCCAAACCACAGCAGGCAAGTGAGGGTGGCCAAGAGAGAAAACGTTTTCAACATTTCTCATAGGAGGGTAAAACTGACCTGTCTCATGACGATCCAAACTCCAGGTCATATGACTAATTTTCATGCTAATTTAAAGCTGGCGTATGTATTTTTCAAACCAAAATAATTGAACTATAAAATTCCATGTCACTAGTTCCTGGGTTCAAAACTATGTATTTTTTTCTTTTTTTTCAGTTTTTCAGAAGGAAAAGTTCAAAATTCAAATAGTGACTCACAGGGCTCTACTTATGGAAAAGATAACAAGTTCTGATAAGTTGAAGACGGCATGTTGTGGTCTGATTTTCTCACATTTTACTTTACTACGAGTACTACTACTACTACTTCCACTACTACTACTTCTACTACTACTACTACCACTACCAGTACTACTACTACTTTTTTTATTATTACTACTACTACTTCCGCTTCTACTATCAAAGGCCCCACAGGCTCCACTCAGATCAAGTTGACGATCCGCACTTTTAGTTTTCTCTTGTTACCAGACAAGAAAAAGTTTGAACCGGGTATGAGTTTTGGCTTTGGCAGTGAGTGCAGTTGGGGTGGAGTTGGGGGTGGAGTTGGGGGTGGAGTTGGGGTGGAGTTGGGGTGGAGTTGGGGTGGAGTTGGGGTGGATTGCTCTGTGTCGTTGGGGCTGGGTTTGCAGTCTTTGTGCGGTGGGTGAAGGGCAGGTCCAGGTGCAGTGTCATGTGTCCTTTTGTCTGGAGCAGCTCAGGAGGAAGACTCCGGTTTAAGTTTCAGCGGCAAAAACACAACCAGCAAAAGCAAACGTTACAGAAGAGACAGACCAGAAAGAAACTAGAGCGAGACCAGTGAGAGACCAGAGAGAGACCAGTTAGAGACCAGAGAGAGATCAGAGAGAGACCAGAGATAGACCAGAGAGGGACCAGACAGAGACCAAAGAGAGAGATCAGTGAGAGGCTGGAGGGAAAGACCATAGAGAAACCAGAAAGACAAACCAGAGAGAGACTAGAGAGAGATATATCAGAGAGAGATCAGAGAGAGAGAGAAATTTGCCTACAACAGTTATTTACTTTATGATAAGTTAAGTCAAATAATATATAAGTTTAAAATGCAGTTGCTAAAAGTTCTTATAAAACTTCCCACTCCTTTTTACAAAACAACTTGTGTTCTGTCAGATGAGATAGAGAGCGTTTTTGAACAGCAGTTTTTAGGTTTCTCAGGTCTTGCTCTAAGTGAGGGAAGCATGCAGGTGGTCTCTCTCTCTTTGGCCTCTCTCTGGTCTCTCTCTCTGGTCTCTCTTTGGTCTCTCTCTCTGGTCTCTCTTTGGCCTCTCTCTGGTCTCTCTTTGGCCTCTCTCTGGTCTCTCTTTGGTCTCTCTCTCTGGTCTCTCTCTGGTCTCTCTTTGGTCTCTCTCTCTGGTCTCTCTTTGGCCTCTCTTTGGTCTCTCTCTCTGGTCTCTCTTTGGTCTCTCTCTCTGGTCTCTCTTTGGCCTCTCTTTGGTCTCTCTCTCTGGTCTCTCTTTGGTCTCTCTCTTGCCTTTCTTTGATCTCTGTCTGGTCACTCTCTGGTCTTTCCCTGTTCTCTTTCTGATCTCTTGCTGGTCTCATTCTGGTCTCTCTCTAATCTCTGGTCCCTCTACTGTTTCTCTGGTCTAACAGTATTTCTCTGATATCCCCTCTGATGTTAACTTCCTGGGCTGCCTCGCATGGCTCCCACTGTCCTGTAAAGTCCTGCGTTCTGTGAGAGCGAAGCCTCCGTTTGGCTGAAGGCGTCTCGAGTTTTGATGCGGTTGTCATGGGAACGCCTCAGCACGGCACGGAGGCTTGGGCTAGCTGTTGAGTGAAGACACACTTTTACACATGCGTTTCTCAACATGAGGTTCGTGTGACTTCAGAAAGAAAACACTGCTCCTCAATAAATACAGGTTTAATTTAGACCCAATTAAAAAAACTAATTTTTTCTAGGCTTTAGTTTTGTGGCTCAGGGAGAAATGGTTCTAAATCTACACACAAGAGACAATTCTCTGCATAATGACAGCCGTGGAGCTGTGTTTGGGTGAATGAAGCTCTCACCGTCACAGTTTGGGCGGTTGCAGGTGCTGCTCTTTCCTTTATAAAGTTGTCTTTGTTAAAGATCAAAGCAAAGGAAGGTTTCTCAGAAGGTGAGAAACCTTGTTAAAGATGTGATCAAATATTGCTCCAAGTGGATAAGAAACATTCTGGTCTCTCTCTCTCTCTCTCTCTCTCTCTCTCTCTCTCTCTCTCTGCTCTTTCTTTCACCCTCTCACTTTCTCTTTCTCTCTCTCTCTGGTCTCTGGTTTCTGTCTGGTGTCTCTCACTTTCTCTTTCTCTCTTTCTCTGGTCTCTCTCTCCTGTCTCTCTCTGGTCTCTCTCTGGTCTCTCTCTCTGGTCTCTCTCTGGTCTCTCTCTGGTCCCTCTCTCTGGTCTCTCTCTGGTCTCTCTCTGGTCCCTCTCTCTGGTCTCTCTCTGGTCTCTCTCTGGTCTCTCTCTGGTCTCTCTCTGGTCTCTCTCTGGTCTCTCTCTGGTCTCTCTCTCTGGTCTCTCTCTGGTCTCTCTCTGGTCTCTCTCTGGTCCCTCTCTCTGGTCTCTCTCTGGTCTCTCTCTGGTCTCTCTCTGGTCTCTCTCTGGTCTCTCTCTGGTCTCTCTCTGGTCTCTCTCTGGTCTCTCTCTCTGGTCTCTCTCTGGTCTCTCTCTGGTCTCTCTCCTGTCTCTCTCTGGTCTCTCTCTGGTCTCTCTCTCTGGTCTCTCTCTGGTCTCTCTCTGGTCCCTCTCTCTGGTCTCTCTCTGGTCTCTCTCTGGTCCCTCTCTCTGGTCTCTCTCTGGTCTCTCTCTGGTCTCTCTCTGGTCTCTCTCTCTGGTCTCTCTCTGGTCTCTCTCTGGTCTCTCTCTGGTCTCTCTCTGGTCTCTCTCTCTGGTCTCTCTCTGGTCTCTCTCTGGTCTCTCTCTGTCTCTCTCTCCTGTCTCTCTCTGGTCTCTCTCTCTGGTCTCTCTCTCTGGTCTCTCTCTGGTCCCTCTCTCTGGTCTCTCTCTGGTCTCTCTCTGGTCCCTCTCTCTGGTCTCTCTCTGGTCTCTCTCTGGTCTCTCTCTGGTCTCTCTCTGGTCTCTCTCTGGTCTCTCTCTGGTCTCTCTCTCTGGTCTCTCTCTGGTCTCTCTCTGGTCTCTCTCTGGTCTCTCTCTGGTCTCTCTCTGGTCTCTCTCTCTGGTCTCTCTCTGGGTCTCTCTCTGGTCTCTCTCTGGTCCCTCTCTCTGGTCTCTCTCTGGTCTCTCTCTGGTCTCTCTCTGGTCTCTCTCTGGTCTCTCTCTCTGATCTCTCTCTGGTCTCTCTGGTCTCTCTCTGGTCTCTCTCTGGTCTCTCTCTCTGATCTCTCTCTGGTCTCTCTCTAGTCTCTCTCTGATCTCTCTCTGGTCTCTCTCTGGTCTCTCTCTGGTCTCTCTCTGGTCTCTCTCTGGTCTCTCTCTCTGGTCTCTCTCTGGTCTCTCTCTGGTCTCTCTCTCTGGTCTCTCTCTGGTCTCTCTCTGGTCTCTCTCTGATCTCTCTCTGGTCTCTCTCTGGTCTCTCCCTGGTCTCTCTCTCTGGTCTCTCTCTCTGGTCTCTCTCTCTGGTCTCTCTCTGGTCTCTCTCTGGTCTCTCTCTGGTCTCTCTCTGGTCTCTCTCTGGTCTCTCCCTGGTCTCTCTCTCTGGTCTCTCTCTCTGGTCTCTCTCTCTGATCTCTCTCTGGTCTCTCTCTGGTCTCTCTCTGGTCTCTCTCTGGTCTCTCTCTCTGATCTCTCTCTGGTCTCTCTCTAGTCTCTCTCTGATCTCTCTCTGGTCTCTCTCTGGTCTCTCTCTGGTCTCTCTCTGGTCTCTCTCTGGTCTCTCTCTAGTCTCTCTCTCTGATCTCTCTCTGGTCTCTCTCTGGTCTCTCTCTCTGGTCTCTCTCTGATCTCTCTCTGGTCTCTCTCTGGTCTCTCTCTGGTCTCTCTCTGGTCTCTCTCTCTGGTCTCTCTCTGGTCTCTCTCTCTGGTCTCTCTCTCTGGTTTCTCTCTGGTCTCTCTCTAGTCTCTCTCTGGTCTCTCTCTCTGGTCTCTCTCCCTGGTCTCTCTCTGGTCTCTCTCTAGTCTCTCTCTGATCTCTCTCTGGTCTCTCTCTGATCTCTCTCTGGTCTCTCTCTGGTCTCTCCCTGGTCTCTCTCTCTGGTCTCTCTCCCTGGTCTCTCTCTGGTCTCTCTCTAGTCTCTCTCTGGTCTCTCTCTAGTCTCTCTCTGGTCTCTCTCTGGTCTCTCTCTAGTCTCTCTCTAGTCTCTCTCTGGTCTCTCTCTGGTCTCTCTCTAGTCTCTCTCTGGTCTCTCTCTGGTCTCTCTCTGGTCTCTCTCTGGTCTCTCTCTGGTCTCTCTCTGGTCTCTCTCTGGTCTCTCTCTAGTCTCTCTCTGGTCTCTCTCTGGTCTCTCTCTAGTCTCTCTCTGGTCTCTCTCTGGTCTCTCTCTGGTCTCTCTCTGGTCTCTAGCCTGAACTAGCATTAGCACTGGTTAGCATCTTCAGAAAATGGGCTTTAACTTTAAAAAACACAAAATAATTTCTGTTTTTACGAAAATCCAAGATTGTTTCATGGAAATGACGACAGAGGCTTGAACAAAGTCAGGCAGAGCACTAATGGACACCGGGTCATTACTAAACTAAACTTAAAGCCGTCAAAGTGACTGCACTGTAACTACTGTAATGTATCTGACAGGCACCTCCACCTCCCTCTGGTGGCAGCACAGGGAGTTACAGGCAGAAAGCATTTTTACCCTCAATACATTCACTGGAGTTATTATTCCACGCTCTGCAGGAGGAGAGGATAAAGTCAATCGTTTTGTTTTATTTCTTAAAGGCCAAGTAAAAACCATAATATTTCCTCATTAAAAGTCACTTTAGTTTAATCACATGTTGTGATTCCAGGAAACATTGAGTTATTTTGATCTGCAGACGGACGAGCAGCGCCAAGAGCTTTCACACAAATATCAGTCTGAGGCATTAAACTTGATCCTTTCCCGTCGTTACACGCTTGTTTTGCCCAAAGTCTGAGAATAACCGTAAATCACCGTCATGGCCTCAAACCACAGACTGAAGCCGGCCACTGACAACAGGACAACACTAAACCACACTCAATGTAATATTACACACACAGACTCAAACACCTCCATCGGGAGAGAGAACCGAGAGCAAAGATATGTTTATTCTGTGCCTACAATTGTTTCTTGTTTTAGGGATTTACAGATTTCGTGATGAACATATGGTCAGCTTTAACAGTTATGTGTGTATCCAAGCTCCAGGTCTCTCCAAGATGTCTGCCTCTGGTCTCTCCAAGATGTCTGCCTCTGGTCTCTCCAAGATGTCTGCCTCTGGTCTCTCCAAGATGTCTGCCTCTGGTCTCTCCAAGATGTCTTTCCCTGGTCTCTCCAAGATGTCTGCCTCTGGTCTCTCCAAGATGTCTGCCTCTGGTCTCTCCAAGATGTCTTTCCCTGGTCTCTCCAAGATGTCTGCCCCTGTTCTCTTCCCAAGATGTCTGCCCCTGTTCTCTTCCCAAGATGTCTGCCTCTGGTCTTTCCAAGATGTCTGCCTCTGGTCTCTCCAAGATGTCTGCCTCTGGTCTCTCCAAGATGTCTGCCTCTGGTCTCTCCAAGATGTCTGCCTCCGGTCTCTCCAAGATGTCTGCCACTGGTCTCTCCAAGATGTCTTTCCCTGGTCTCTCCAAGATGTCTGCCACTGGTCTCTCCAAGATGCCTGCCCCT